GCTCTCTATTTCTTCACTGAACCCTGAATCTTAAATACTTCTAAGCACACCACCTCATCCCTGTTGCTATGGGAGGAGGTATCTGACTAGTAGAACTTTTACAGAATAGAACATGTTCCTCCTAACCAGTAGTGGTGGCCTTGTCCTAAAGGCTCCAGTGTTTGATCTTCTGTTATTTTTAATTAATCACTTTCTGTGTATCTAAACCTGTAACAGACTCTGTGCTGCAGAACTCTAAATGTTTAATATTCTAGTTTCCAGTTAGCAATCAGTGTCTGTATTTTTGTAAAATACTGGCTAAGTGGTTATCTGAATGAGGGCTACTTTATAATCTAATCATTTTTCCTGAAGATGAACAAGATTTTCTGACAGTCAAATAAGGAAAAAAGTGTTTAAGTAGAAAGTCTGCTTAGGGAAGGCAGTTGCTTTGTGAGTACAGAGAAGCAGTAGAAAAACTGTCATAATATTGAGAAGGTCCTGTCCTCTAGGGTTTTCATAATGTAATGCTGTTAAAAGAAGCATATATATAGCTAACTCTGTATATATGAAAAGATTAAAACAGGTGGTAGCTGACCTCTGCAGTTGGTACATAATCAGTTGGACTGATACTAAGGCTGCTAATACTGTGCCTTTCTGGGTTTTAGGTGGTGTCGTATGAAAAGTCTCCATTTATGTCTAACGCTGCTGAAGCTACATACTCCTCTGTTCACCAAACGGAATGCAGTCCAAATTCAGCCCAACTTTTAAAATCTGTCTTTGTGAAAAATGTTGGTTGGGCTTCTCAGGTAAGAGACGAATACCATTAAAGGAGGGAAGTCTGTTCCTTTTTCCTCTTCAACTTGAGATATGTATTTTTAAGTCATTAACTTTTAAACTTGATTTGATTACACTCAGTTGTGCTCTGCTACAGTTTAAATCTGAAAATTGGTATTTGGAGAGATCCTTCCAAATAAGCATCTTGGATAAATACCATGGTGAACTATATTGGTAGAAGAAACCAAAATAATAGTTTAGCATTTCAGTTATCACAATTTTCCTGTGGTGGCTATTGCCTATTTCAGTGCCTTCTGCCATTTAAATTTGACTCTAGTAAAAACTTGAAACTCTTCAACTTCTGTCTGTTCACCAGTGTGGATGTAAAGATGTCATGACAAAGGGTTTTTAACAGATATGTACCAGATCTGTACTAGAAGAATCAATCTGTCTATACTCTAGGAAGAGCTGTTTTCTTACAGAGAAAATTTTCCTCTGCTTTTCTGTGGGACCAGCTTTAGATTTAAAAAATGGTTCTCTGCAATCCAGATAAAGTAAGCTTCCTGTCCTAACAGAAAAAGTTTATAAACTTTAAACTGTATGTAGTTGTGAACTCTTACAAATGGGCCTTCTATTTTATGTTTAGTCCTATTTAAATTTTCTTTAGGAGTGATTAAACTAAAGGTTCTTTATTTAACTCTCTTTGAAAAAGATGATTGAGTATCTGAAACATGAGAGAGTCTGATTCTTGAGACTGCATGAGACTGCTTACTCAGAAGTAGTATACATGCAATCTATCTTTAAAAGACTGACCAGGATACCCAAGTCACATCAGCAATTCTGAAAAATTTAATTTTCAATTATTAGAGAAATTCTAGGTATGTAAACTTGTGTTGTCCTCAAACCATAATGCAATGTCTTGTTAGCTGACCAGCGGAGCAGTATGGGTTCAGTTTAATGATGGATCCCAGCTGGTGGCCCAGGCAGGTGTTTCTTCCATCACTTACACATCTCCAGATGGCCAGACAATGAGGTGAGTCTCTTACTGATCTAAAAAAAGTTCTGTTCACTGTCAGTGCAAGGCTGTTATACCTAAGGTGAACTTCATAGCTGCTATTCATTTTGTTTTGTAAATATTAAAACTTAGATTTTCAATCACTTCTCGGTTTATTAGCTTATATAAGCTTAATAAATAGAAACACCTATAGATTGAACTCGGGATAACAAATGAATTAAAAAAAGCTGGACCACAGCTACTTGGTCTCCAGAGTATAGCCACTATTCATGTGTAGTATTTAAGAGGGATGGGTAAAAATGTAAGGCTTTAATACCTTTTTTTTTTTTAAGATGCTGCTAGATTATGGAGATAGCATGTCAACATTGATGCCTAGACCCAAAGTGCTCAGGTGGAGTTTTGCATATCTTTTGGACAGTGTGGGCACTTCCCATACAAATATAGCAACTCAGTAACATGCTCTCTCTGTGCAAAGCTCGAGACAGTTGTGTACAGTCTGTTCAGATATTATTGCAGCTTTAAAGATTGTTTAGGTATTTCATTCATCTGAAACACTTTTTTCAGCTAAATACATATAGAGAAGGGGGGCCTAGATTTAACCCATCAAGCTCCAATTAATATATCTAGATACACTTAAAATCTGCTTAGTGGTTTGCCTATTTACAGGCTTTGAAAAAAATTATACTACCCTGAAATAAAACAAATTATTTCAAGCATCTAATTTTTTCTGTGCTTATTTGCCCTTCTAGGTATGGAGAAAATGATAAGTTGCCAGAATACATCAAAGAGAAGCTGCACTGTCTGTCTTCTATTCTTGTGATGTTTACCAATCCAGCTAGTCCCCACTGATTAAAGCAAAGCAGGTGTCGAGACACAAGAACTTAATAAACTCACTCACTGGCTTTCAAGTAAAGTGATGGATCTTACTCAGCTTATGCAGAAATTATTCCGAAAGCTGGTAAAAAAAAAAAAAAAAGGGAAGGGTTGCTCTGTTTGTGGGGCACACTGCTTGTAATGTATCTTACAAAACATGCTTTTTCCTCCCAATGATGGATAAACTTGCTCAAGCAAAACTTTGAGCAACTTAGTTGTAGGTATCATCAACTTTTTTGGAAATAACCTGAATCATGTATTTTCTTCTTCTCCCATTGCTTCCTCATTGCCAACAATCAAGGAAAATGCATCTGTGCTGTTGAAGTGTCTGTATTTGTAAATAACTTATATTTTTACATCTTACAAGTAATATATGTAAATATGTATATGTTTTATAACTGCTTGTTTTTATTTTTTGTAGCAGCAGCATTAACTTCCCTGCACAAGCATTTTATAAAAAAAATAAAATGCAGTGGTAATTGTCCAGATGTGTTTTTCATGTTCAAGTGATGGTTTGAGAGCCCTTTCCTCTTAAGTATTAAGCTCAGTTTATAGCAGAAGCTCATCCTGATCTGCTATCTTAGAGCATTGTATGTTGGGGGTTTAGGACTGGTGAAGCCTTGGGAGAAACAGTATAAAAAACTTAAGTACACGAAGTTCCTTCTACGTTGCTGAACTGAAAAATTGTGCTGTGGTTTGTATGTTCAATATTTACCTCTGGCCTACAGCTGACTAAAACTAGGAGCATGTTTGACAGGAGGAAGTGATTCAGTTTGTTACTCTCTAGGAATTTTACTAACTTTAGATACTTTTACCTCGCTTTACACATGAATCACAACAAAATGAAGTAACATTAATAGTAGCGGGTTTTAAGCATTTTGCTTCCAGTGTGCTAACACTCCTGATGGTGCTTATATTCATACTTAAGCCTTCAACTTCCTCATAAGGTAGGAGAGAGTATGTATTTCTTTTAAGTTGAGAGGAAGAGTGGGATCCAAAAAGGGGGTGGGGGGGAGAGTTTCAGAGGAGCTGACAGGTGCTTGGGCTTGTGGTCTTGGGCACAATGATCTGAGCTGTAAAACCCTCAGGAAAGAGGTGTTCCAGTACAGGTCTTTTGAATCTGAATGCTCAGTTTAGAGCTGAAATAGCTGTGACTTCAAGTCAGTTCTCCTTATCAATCTAGTCTCTACTAGAGACAGTTTTGATCATTTTGTCATGTCCAAATCAAGGAGATAGCTTGCAAAAAAATTATTCTCTAAAAGGAATTTTTAACTGCTCTTTCAGTTGCAAACTGCACCTTCTTATTTTTCTCATTTTGGACATTCTTACTCAGCTGGAATGACAGCATGGTAAAATGACTTAACTGTTACAAGTCTTTGATACACCACATAAGAGTCTCCATAAGAGCATACATAGTTTTTTGAATATACCTTTAGATACAAACGTGCACATGCACATAAATACAGCTTTGCTAGAATGCTTTTAGTCATTTAATCTTAATTCTAAAGGAGCAAGTCAAGCTTGCTAAAATGTGGGTCGTCACTGCATGTTAAAAACTTGCATTATCACCAGAGGGCAGAAAGGTACAAATGCTTAGAAAGAACAATCAGCTACCTTGTAAGGAACAGTGTGACTTAAGTGCAGTTACATTACATTGCTAACCAAATAAGAAAAAACAGAAGCACTACCTGTGAATCACAAGAACATGATTTTTAAGAATGAGAGGATGGTAATCCAAACCAAGTGAATCATAACTTTTAACACAGCTGACCTAGGAAAATAAAAACAACTCTCATGGCCAAGGAGCTTAAAACCTTGCATTCTTATTTTAATCATGTGAATGTGCATGGGCTACCCATTTTGAGGGGTATCTTCTATTCTTGAGATATTTATTCACTGTGGATGAAGAGACTTGAATCTCATATTTAACTCTTAAAATAAATTACAGGTAAAATAATCCCCCCAACTAGCCAAACATTTTCTCTTAAATTAGAAGTCAGCTAGCCTGAAGAACACCATTAATAAACCTCCTGCAACACACATACTTTTGTCCTAACAGTGAGCACAAACTGAGTTGTAGAACATAAAATCTAAACCGTGTTAGCCTTTTTTGAAAACTTGCCTATTCTTGGGTCTAAAGTAACACCAATTTCTCATGACTGAAGTAGTAACTTTTCATTGCTGTAACTCTGTGCTTCATTTTGCTGTCTGATTTCACCACCAAAACACAGTACTTCTAGTACTATTTATTATGAATTAGCATATAAAAGAAATGCTTATAAAAGCAAAGTCCTTTCTTGTAATGTGATTCTGCAGCAGGAAAGCCTGAGAGAGAATAAAACTTCTGTATTCCCTTCAGTCAGTATTGAAAAAATAATCTTTTAATGCAGTAGTCTTTTAGTGTTTGAACAATTAATTACATAGAGTATTTCATTACATTTATTACATTCAGTAAGCATCAACTATTAAAACACATTAAACAGCAGCTACAAATTGTATACTGGAGTTACTCCAATTTTTTTACCCCCAGTAGTACTGAAACAGATAAACCCATACCAATGAGCTTAAGCCCCATTATGAAGGAAAATTATTATTTTAGTTTTTAAAATAAACAGTGATTCAAACATAAATTCAGAAAAATACATGTCTACAGATAATAATCAAAACCCAAGGAACCAGTTTCCTGGTTGCTCAGCACAGTGCATTCATTCTCATAAATGACAACAGAAGTGTAAACTATCATGCTTAGTATTTCCTCCTTGTAGTAAAGTTAAGAAAACCTGTGCATATTTCAACCCTGTGCAGGTTATCCTTCTTGCTACAAAATGCATTCAGCAAAACAATATAAGAAAAATTGCACATACAGTTGGTTCACTGTAGTTCAAGTAACAGCCACCGAGGCTGTGATTTTCAGTGGCTCTTAACCAACTTAAGTACCCAAATCCCACACCAGCTGCTTGTGAAGTACCTGCCTTCCTCTACGATTCTGTCACGCTCCATTTGAAATCCTGGAGAAGATGTACTAATACATTAAGTTTCCAAAGTCAGACATCTTGTATTAGCCAGTGCTTACAAGCTAGCAAACAACATCAGAAGTAGTAGTGATGTTTCCATACAAAGTGAGTGCAGCTCAACTAATCTTGTAGTTACAAAACAGTTACTAATCCTGATTCACAGAATCAAGATAATATTTCTTTTACTTCTTTCTGGAAAGGATGCACGTAACCTGTGACCTTCACAGCTGCATTCAGTATACAAATGTGCCATTGTATTGATCTACTTGATCACATCCCCTCCTCTGCTGCTAGGAAAGCAGAATGCAGAAGCTCTATAGCAGCAGATGTAGCCATGTATTAGGATATGACCAAGTTATGTGTTCTGTCAATGTGTAAGTACAAGTATACAGTTTTTAGCATACAGCCAACAAGGTCAGTGGTTAGGTAATCCTCATTAAAAAGTAGTAATAACTAAGAATTATTTCTGGTTGGTTTTTTACTTGGTTTTTAGGGTTTTTTTTTAAATACATATTTAACAATTCTCTTCTTGCATCCTTCCATATCTCACAGAAAATGCAATGAGTCTCTTGTAAACTATCTCCAAGAGTAAGAGAGACACTACAACTACTCCACAGATTAAGCTAAATGCCCAGCGTGGTCCCAGGTGAGTGTATATTTGGCTCACAAAAACAGGCCCAAGTATTCGTGCTCCACTTCCAGAGGCAGTTAACCATCCCATGTAGACACCCTACAGAAGATCAAAAGCTTTGTTAGTGATACAAGAATTATTTGGTTTGCCAGTAATTCCCACCAATTACCCTAAACAGAAAATTTGGAAGTGTTTAAGCAGTTGCTTATCTTTCATATCATTAAGATACTACTTTGTTTCCAAAAGTACTGCTCAGCTTCTCTATGCATTAATTCAAAGGCTCCACTGAGCTACATACTCTAGAGATTTCTAATAAAAAGGCATTTTGGCTCAAACCATTGAATCTCTTTCAGCAAAAAAGAACATGGAAAAAATGAGAAGTGATGAAAAAGGAAGAAAATTTTTTCTTAAGTAGCAATACTAGCTTGCTATGTGTTTCACCACTGTAAAATGTCAGTAACTGGAGCTATCATAGTATTTGTAGTCTGTATAACATACAAAGTTCCTCATACCAAGTAAGAGGAACAATATTCTGTACTGATACACAAATATATAATTGGTTGTTACAAAAATTACTCTTCCAGGACAGTTGTGAAAGCCGCAAGCTTTGGGCTTAGTCACTCTGAAATTTTCACTAAGATTTGCCGTAAGTTGTAGTACAAGCCTTGCTTTCTAATTCCTCTAGAGACTTGCCTCAGATTTTAAAAAAGATGAGAGTTCCTGGAAACTTCTGCCCTGACTATCATCAGCCAAAGAGTAGTAAGTTTCAAAAGGAATTTCACCTAGATCCCTCATTCTAATAAAGAAGGTGCTAGTCTTGGAGAGCAAATGAAATAAACTGTGTAGGCATCATGCTTACCTGAGGCTTTGGTCCTAGAATTTTTGAGTATAAAGTGTAGGACATGACATTACAAACTGGATAGCCCAGTCCTATCAGTATGTCAGAGCTGATGTACTGGGCCAGATAGATCACAGGAGTATTGAGGCACCAGGACTGTGTGACAGGGCAGCCCACGGGTTCTGCTGTGTGGTTGGATGGAGGCTGCATTGCTTGCAAACTCCAGACAGGCATTAACATTTCAGTGGGAGTTGTTCTGGGAATGGAGTTGTTCTTTATTTCTGTAAAAACAAATTATGTGTACTGTTAAGAAAAAAAATACTGTATAAAGCTTTCACTAAAGCATTCCAACGATAGTTCAGTATGACTTGGGTTATACCTTGCCACTGGATATTTGGTAGTTTTTTCCCCCAAGGCAGTAAGATAAAGAAGCCAACCAAGACAATCAGTAAGCCTCCATGGAGTATGGCACGTTCACCAGTCCTATCAAACAATGAAATGACACCTAAACATATCAGTTAATTGAAGTAAAATGTATGAAGGTTCTAATGACATAGCCCATTAGTTTGTGGAAAAGATGCCTGACCAACACACCTGCATGAAAAATTACAAAATCATTACAAAATCACAGTAACTTAAAACCTGTTTTCCTTGGGATTCAAGGGAAAAAGACAAACAAGGAAGGGGGTTATGTTAACAGAATAAACCACATCATGGCTGTGTCAAAACTGGAAGTACTTGACTAACATAGCAAACCCAACTTCATTAACAAGTAAAAGATCTAAGTAATGCAGATTTGGCCTTGCTGTAAAGCTTTTCACACTTAGGTAAAATAAGTTAACAAAATTCTGATAAACACCAACAAACTTACTTTTTAGCTAGCATCTTAACCACCATGAAAACAATAACCGATTCAATGCCAACCACACTAAGGATTATTCCATTGTAAAAAACGGCTTCTTTCCTGGTCCAGGAATACATATCCATTGTCAATGGAGTAGCTATACTAAATTGACAGAACAAAATGACATTAATTAAAAAAAGTTTCTTCTATACAGCTGTTTCCATACATACATTGTCCCAAATATCAAACACAGTGGTATAGACCCTTTCCTCCTGATGGACATACCAGAAAACACAGGCTAATTATGAACTACTTCTGTCATGCATCATTTATTAAAACTAAATCCACTAGACAAAATTCACAACTGCATTACACCAGCCATACTCTGATGCATCATTAATCTATTTTATGAAAAGATGATGGAGTTAAAGTAAAGCAACAGTAATAGAGAGGAAAAGAAAAAAATCAGACCCTGTGGCTATAAAAGTAATAAACATTTAATACTGTTTCAGTTTTAGCAACCAACCAGCCTCTAGGAACTCAGCTTTCTAATACTAATATATTACAACAGACACATTCTTACATCAAATTTTGGCTACCTTAAAGATAAACCTTATATCCTCAAAGTATTTTATAAATTAAAAAAATGAAGTACACTTCAGTCTGAGGGAATGTTTTACTTATTTTCTTATACGCAGAAAATTTGGGAGTGAATAACATACCTCTTTAGGTAAAAAAAAGTCATGTAAAATAGCGTATTTAAGAATACAATTGCATTAGCTATATCAAACAATTGTTTTCGTCACTACTGAAATAATTGTTACTAAAAGCTCCACTGGAGCTCTTGGAGCTAATCAGAATCATACTAAGAAATTACATAAAATTAAAATAGAAAGTATAGAACAAGGTACTCAAGTGAGGATAGTTTTTTCAAGATTTCAGGTAGCTCAGATTAAGCTACTTTTTTAACACTTTAAAAATTGAGGATATGGGTTTGCATCCATTCAAAAGCTTTTACATTACAGTTTCACATACTACAGACTGTATGCTACATATTTTCAGTTATTACTGACCTTTAATTCACTACTCTGTATCAGTATACATCAGTTTGATTGCATATAGTTTTGGACTTCTATTTCTGAAGAGTACAGTTAAGGAAATGAGTGCAACAGAAAAACCTGTACATGCACACCCAGTCTAACTACATTGTATGTCTAAGTATTTGGAGAGAAAATAGACCAACTTACGTTTCAAAGACAGCAAACACAAACAAGATGACAAAGAAAAGAAAATTGATTGCCACCACAGCAACATGGTCAATGTTTCCTTCTGTGTCCTGATCCAGACCACCACCTTCTGCAACAAAACAAAAGAATAATATAAACAGCAAACTGAGCTTCAAACTGAGCATTTTTTACACGACCACAAATTACAAACAGTAATGATTTCCTTACTCTGTTAAGTATTTAACATGCAGGTTGGTGGGCAGCTAGGCAGTTATATTTTAACAGTCTAAGTACAATGTTTTTAAATCAAAATAGAACCGCTGAAATTCAATTCCTCTGACAATGAGGAAAAAATGATTTCAAATTGGTTATACCATCTGTTGTCCCACTGTAATGCTGGGACTGACAAGTCCTGAGTGACAGCAAAACAAGCAAATGTCTTTAAATGGTTTTAAAATGGAAACCAAACCACTTTCTGTTCCTCTTGCAAAGTCAAAAGTGCACAACAGTAGAATTCTCTGCACTGCCACAGAGCCTTTGTTCCTCTAACCTGGCCATCATACACAAAACACCCATGTGAGGTGTACACATAACAGTTCCCTTTTTAAACAGAAAACCATACTGGAACAGATGACTTCATAGATTTTAGAAGAGATTTAAGATCATCTTTCATACGCTTTTTATTCTTCAAGTGAAAAACATACAACACCTTAAAAACTTTTAACTGTGTACAAAAAGTGTGTTGAAGATAAACCATTGCACTGTATGTGGCAATTACTGTAGTTTAGTCTCACCAACTGAATTTAGTTATCCAACATACACCTTTTAATAAGATGCCATATGTGAAAGCTGATGCACAACAATATTACTCAGCATGATACAGAACAAAAAAGAAGTATGACTGTACATTAGAAGTTAAGGGAGATTTTTTTAATGTCCATATTCACTTGGCCCTGTCTCTTGGAAGAGACAGTTCCGGACTGAAAATCTGGAAAAGTCTGTATTTTTTTAAGTTCTTTGCTACCAGACAGCACTATGGACACAGATGAACACAACATGGACATGAAACAATTTTCGGACCAGTTAGAAAGAGATGTAGCCTATTTTCCACTTTGAGCTCCCAATCCATCAGACTATAGAATATGTCTAAATGCTTGTATATAATAACAGAGCACTTCAAAATTATCATCACAGAGTAAGCTTTCAAGAAAAATAAGATACCTTCTCCTTCAGTACCTTCTCCTTCAAAATTGACACTCTTGCACTGCCGTCCCATGTCATCCACTCGATGCTCTCTAGAAATTTAAGAACTGTTTTCATTAATACACATATTTATTTGGTCTACTATTGAGTCGTTTCTACTAAAACAATTCTAAATGGCATAACCTTGGAATATAAGTATTTGCAGCTCCTTTAACCATCGTCAGTGTAGTCCACATTTGACTGCAGTGAACACCACCATATTCAAAAAGAAAATATTCTAGTGGGAGAATATCACATATGTGTATGCATCTCTCTCCTCCCCTCCCTGCCACCAATGCTATAATACATAAAAATCCTCCCTCAAGATTCTTAAATGAAAGACACAGACAGTGAGAACCCTACAGAGAAGCTAACCTTATTTCTCTTTAGAGAAAAAACATGGGCAGAAACCATCAACACTAAAAATATATCAAGGCTAAGCTAATAATCTAACAGCTCTGTTTAAATTATTTTACATTCTAGCCGTAACATCACTATTATTAATTTACGAGCATAATGAAAGAGATATGTATTAAAGAGATAGAAACCCTGAAAAGTAAGTAACAGCTTATAGATTTAGGACTCCAAATTTTAGGCTTATTACTCCTCCTTCTGAGCAGCATATTAGTTGTTACAAGCCACTCACTTAACCAAGGTAGAATACTTCTCTTTTTTGTCTCAGTTACCTGAATATGACAAAGATGAGAATAATATTAATAACTCCTAAGAGAGCTCCAAACAGAACTGGCGCTGTATACATGTTCAGCTGAAGATGAATTAATTTCCAAGTTATTCCTTCTTCTCCAATAAGTGTAAAACACGTCTGAAAAACTTCAAAGCGTAAATTTATTAAGAAAATCTTGAGAATCATTAAGAAAATATCTGAACACATATAAACACATAAAACTGCATAAGCAAAGTTGTTCTAATTACTAAGCAAAATTTAAGTATTTTACCTGTCAAACCTTTTACATTTTGAGACTCCTAGTGAAAATAAACTGATGGAAACCAGTGGGATCTCAACTAGCCTGAAAACTACTTGGTTACATACAAATACACTGTATAAATAACAGCCTGACATTTAAAGAACTGGAACTGAATTCTGAGTGTACCAGTAGTTAATTTTCTTGGCCATGTGCAGACAGCTGATTCACTTTTTCTTCTTCCTTCTACATGGAAAACCTTGGTCCTGGGACTCGACTATCCCTCCTGCCAAGGGCAAGCTAGAGGGTGTTGGGGTTTGGGGTTTTTTTTGGTAAAATTTAAATTGTTGCAGAGCAGAAGACTGTAAAATCAGGTCATTTGCTAACTACTGTTAGGAAACAGACTGAGAGTCCCTATCAAATTAGCAAAGGGAATTACCTAAATTAATACTTTTTGCAAATCACATAAAGAATGCACATTTTTTGCTGCTGTAGAGCCTCTAATGGTCTATCAACAGCACCAATAATAATCCACTGGAGAAAAAAACATGCAGAGCACTTCAGCTCTACTAATTGGATAATCTTTATCTCCAGCTATAGAAGACAACTCATCAGTAGAGGCTGCTTAGGACAAAATTACTGGTCTCCCTTTACAACACATGGCAAGTCTAATGCATTTCTCCCACGAAGCAGAGAGATTATCACAGGAGCCATATTTATGGCTGATCTAACAAACATCCCTTGAGCTCTTTGCTCCCTTAGCTCTCTCTGTAACACCAGTGCTGTGTCTTAAAATTTTTTCCAATATGAAGATTCTCTGGTCATCACTACAAGGTCAGAAAGATCTGTTGGCTGTTACTTTCTACAACATATGAGGCAAGGTGAAATTTTCAGTCATTTTGAAAAGGTGGAAATGTTTGCCCAAGTACAGTAACATTAAATTCTCTTCTCCGTGAAAAAAGTGTAATTGGACATAGACTATTTACTGGTACAAGAGAGCATATTGGAACTTGATCTTCCTGCAGTCAGCAATCCAAACCAGCTAGTTTTTAACTACAATTAGAATTTCTTTGGACCAGAATATTTCACTTACATTGACATACACAAGTATATATGAGTGGATCCCATTTATGCAATTTTGATACTACTGACAACTTATGCCTTAAAATCCCCAACATACAGCTGCTGAGGATTCCGACTTCCAACACCCTACGTCATCCTAAAAAGTATTAGGGAAGTGAGGAAAGAAGATATGCTTTACCTGGTCCTAATATGAAGCCAACTGCCTGGCAGGCACTGGTATTGGCCATGGCACTTGTTCTTTCCGTAAGAGAAGTGGCACCCGCAATGTATGATCGAACTACAGCCACATTTCCTTAGAAAAACAAAACCAGAAGTGTTCATGTAAATATTAAGTTATGTTCTTAAATTATCGAGTTGCATATATTTTAGGGAGCTCTTATTTTGCAAGAAAATAAACCCCAGCACTTGCTCTAGTATTTCCACACAATTGCATAATTTTATTATAAACTAGTATTGGCCAACTCTTTGCTTTGTTAAGTAGTAAGTTACCATTCACAATGGTAAATCTGGTACTAAAATATGTTAACTATCTTACACAAGACATAGAATTTAGTAATTTTTAGAAACGTAAATTCTACTGTGATTACCTGCTCCAAATCCCACAAGGGCACGTGCAATCAGCATGTAGTATTTATTGTGTGAATGAGGTACATGGACGTAGGCATAAAGACAATTAGCAGCTACTGAAATAGCAGTTGAAATAACGAGAGGTTCTCTCCTTGGCCTGTAATTGGACCACAAGCCGAAGAGGGGAGAGGCAACCATTTGGCCAATGCTGTATGAAGCTATAATCCAACCCAAGAAACTCGCATCTGCTGTTGGATCGATCTGTGGAAACAAAAGAACCGATTCTATGGGTAAAGTATTATATATAAAGTATTATATATAAAGTATTTTATAATATCGACAAAACCATTTTAGAATCAGTACCTGAAATACCTAAGACTCTGCACTGCAATTCTGAGTGTATATCACACTATGCAATGCAGTGTCAAACCTAAACTATCGCTAAACAAGTAGGTGTCTGCATGGCACTCCACGATGTTTAATATAAACACACCACTCTGGGTCTCAGAAGCAGTTGTTTTCACACAGTACTTTCTCTAGGGCAGTAAACCTTGGCTAACTGTCTCCAGCAATGCACCAAACCAAGAAAAAGTGCTTTGCTTCTGAGACTGGAAGTGGCTTGCAGCAAACTCAAAACAGTTTTCATAGGGTGCTGCAGATGTTATGGGCTACAGCCCATACAGGTAGGGCAGTTTACATGCCAGGAGCAAGTCATCTCTGCAGATGCCTGAATCTGTCTTGATTTACAAGGCTTATGATGCATTTTCTTTTCTTCTCCAAGAATTCAGCGCTAACCTCAATTTTAATGATACTTCTAGGACCCTACCCAGGATATCTTCTTCCAAATTCACATTCGAAACTGTCCTTCTACAACTCAAGGAGCAGGAAAATCCTGGCACAGATTAAAGTTTTAGAGACCTTTAATGCCACTTTTAACAAGAACATAACAAAGAGAAAAAAAAACCAAACCATCTAAAAACACTACCCAGGAACACAGGCAATTCCCTGATAATGATATCAAGATGGTCTATGTGCAACAATCTGACATTCGGGGAGGTCCCATTGGACTGGAGGATGGCAAATGTGACACCCGTTTACAAGAGAGGCAGAAAGAAGGATCCAGGAAACTACAGACCTGTCAGTCTGACCTCGGTGCCAGGGAAGGTAATGGAGCAGGTCATCTCAGGTGCCATTAAAAGTCATATAATGGACAACCAGGGGATCAGGCCCAGTCAGCATGGGTTTATGAAAGGCAGATCCTGCCTGACAAACCTGATCTCCTTCTATGACAAAATAACTCAACTATTGGACAAGGGAAAAGCTGTGCATATTATCTATCTGGATTTTCAAAAAGCATTCAACACAGTTCCCCATAGGATTCTCATAGGAAAACTAGCTGCCCATGGCCTGGATGGCCATGGTCTGATGGGTCAAGCACTGGCTGGACGGTCCCAGAGAGTGGTGGTCAGTGGAGCTAAATCCAGCTGGCAGCCGGTCACAAGTGGTGTTCCTCAGGGCTCGATGTTGGGACCATTACTGTTCAGCATCTTTACTGATGATCTTGATAAGGACATAGAGTGTATCATCAGTAAATTCGCAGATTACTATGGCGACAGGCTTGGGGAGGTGTGGCTGGAGAGCTGTCTGGAAGAGAAGGATCTGGGGGTTCTAACTGACAAGCAGCTGAACATGAGCCGGCAGTGTGCCCGGGTGGCCAAGAACGCCAATGGCATCCTGGCTTGTGTTAGAAATAGTGTGACCAGCAGAAGTAGGGAGGTGACAGTCCCCCTGTACTCTGCACTGGTGAGGCCACACCTGGAGTATTGTGTCCAGTTTTGGGCACCTCAATACGAGAGAGATACCGAGGTGTTGGAGCAAGTGTGGAGGGCAACAAAGCTGGTGAAGGGCCTGGAGAATAAATCCTATGAGGAGCGATTGAAGGAGCTGGGACTGTTCAGTTTGAGGAGGAGAAGGCTGAGGGGAGACCTCGTCACTCTCTACAACTACCTAAGAGGACACTGTAGAGAGGTTGGTGCTGGTCTCTTCTCACAGGTGATTAGTGACAGAACAAGAGGGAACAGATTTAAACTCCAACAGGGGAGGTTCATACTGGACCTTAGGAAACAAGTTTTCACAGAGGTCAGACAGTGGAACAGGCTGCCCAGGGAGGTGGTGGAGTCACCATCCCTGGATGTGTTTAAGGGTCATTTAGATGAGATGTTGGTGGATATGGTGTAGGGGAGAACTTGTAGAGTAGGCCTGGTGGTTGGACTCTGATCCCAAGGGTCTTTTCCAACCTGAATGATTCTGTGATTCTGTGATTTACAGAGCAACTTCTTCCTTGAGCTTTTTTTTTTTTTTTTTTTTTTTTTTTTTTTTTTTTTTTCCAAAATGCAGACAAGCCTTGTGTATTATGTTTTAACACTACAAATGCATTCAAATAAAGAGATTTCTACTGGTTCACTGTTCAAGAAAACAGTGAAATTATACAGGAAAATCAAACATTTCTGGATTATGATGTACCTTTATCAATTCAGGGAATCATCTGACAGATTTCATATGAAATAGTTTCTCAGCGGATGGCAAAATTAGTCTCTTATAACCATACACTTCCCTTTTCCTAAATAAAATGTCAAGTTTTATATTACATACTTCCTGAGCAGGAGTTTTCTGTTCTTATTAATTAAAAAAAAAAAAGATTTACAAACCTCTTGAAGATACGGCCACACAGACATAATGACAATTGAGAAACCTGCAATGCGGTAAAAACATAATTGAAGTTACTTATGTGTCATGTTTATCGGTAATTAGCTTTACTGAAACAATTACAGGTTCATTCCTCTGCTACTCAGTGTATTATAGTCTAAAACTGTGCATCAGTCTGTCGCCTGAAGAAACTATGTATTATGTGCTTTTAAGGAGTGATAATTCCTCCTAACAGGAGGAAGCATTTTTAAAAGGACATTTATAGGTACATACACACAAAACAAAAAAACTCCTATGTAAAGGAGCTGATGTGCCAAGCAAACTGCACAGGATTTTTCCTTCCAGTGGAAAGACATAAAGGTCCCCAGAGAAAAAATAACTTCTTGATATACAGACATATTTGTATTATGAAAGATGTTTTAATTCATCAAATTAAACAAAATAAAAAATCAATGAAGTATCCCATGATATTCAAGACCATTTATAGGCCCACAGAAAATCACCAAAGTCAAAAATCACCAGAAGTCTTGTTCCCAGAGGCAGTTATTTAGGAATGAAACAGTAATTCATTCTGCAGTGGAGATGTAAAATCCCATAGGAGAAAACAAGTTCTCATACACATTTTGAAATAGGTAACATACATTCCCACAAAGATCCTGCCTCTTAAGAACTCAGTATTACTTCTATTTTCATTCCTAGAAGTTTCACTTTGGATGATAAAAGTATTACCTTTGTTTTGTTTGGTTCTGAACAATAACCTTACTCTGCCACTACCTTTTTCACCAAACTGTTACAAAGCAATAAAACAAAGATTTAAGTAACATGTTATTTAGTTTCAAAACAGAGTATTTTTTAACTTATCTTATTAAATGTAACTTTCTGATTGATTTGCTGGTCACTTCTTTCCTTTTGAAGAATCAGAAAATGCACTTTTTTAAGGTTATAAGAGAACAGTGGCAGTAAAGGAGCTAGATAGTTGAAATCGAGAAAACCCTGTAATTTTCGAACCAAAATATATTAATTAAGCAAGTAACATTGAAATCCACCTGTCTTTACTCACCTACACTACTGAGAAACATTGTAAGATACATAATCCAGATAGATCTCCACCTGCTCTTATAATGCTCTTGTGTTTCCACAACATCCCTGTTTTTGAATCAGAAGAGAGAAAAAAATCATTAGCAGATTATCTTCTAGTTGTTTCCACAGGACACTGAAAACATTTTCACAATCCTCTCAATACAACTGTGTAAACTGTTATGCAGAAATGGACTTCCACACAGCAAAAGAATACGAATAAATTTATTTCAGAAGCAAGCTAACTTTTCACTGAAAAAATGCTAGCTTGAAAAATCAAAAAAACTATTAGAAACGCTATCATGTACTATTGCATTCAAATGTTACACAAAGAGATCTTTAGCTAAAGACATCTTCAATTCTGCAATCTCTGTGCATAGACACATTAGAGCATCACAGGTAAAGGTGTGTTAAACCATAAAATTCCAGACATCTTCTCAGAACTGTGACTTTAAAGCAAAAAACCCTCAAACCTGAACAAGTATTGATAAGACAAAAAGGTATACCCAGTAGAAACTAACTATACAATGTAAAAGATGTGTGTAAAACAGATTTCTGAAGACTGTAAGGGCTGAAAAAAAAATTAGAAGTTACAAACATTGTGAGCTTTAAGTTATTTTTCTAAAATTCATAAACACCTTCTGAGATCCACGTGCTTTTTCAGAACATTTCAGCGTCCTCCTTTTGGCTTTGAAATACTCTAAACAAAATAATCTTTGTCCAAAAGATGTAGACCTAGTTTATATTATAAAGCAGTTGATAAACATTGTTTATAGGTCATAGGTAAGTTTTAGGCACACGTGCAATTTTAAAGCTCGTATTCCACAGCGTGATTTGTACGCTTATTTCTTCAGAAATGTTTACACTATTCAACTGTCTGGGTTCAGCGAAACTATAACCACATAAACGATGTTTATAAACGTAATTTGTAATTTTATTGCCCATAGGAAGAAGTCAGTCAAACTCTTGCATAGGCTGTGCACATGCCATGTTTGGTTACTTTCAAGATTTTGGTGGAATCAAGCGTTGCGCTTCAAGTACGAGAAGACTTCAGCAGGGACGGCAGCAGCAGGCACCTCCACACATCCAAGAAGCTGTTTTTTTCCTTGCAGAAGGCGGGCACCTTCCCTCCGCCCTGGGCTGCCCTTGCGGGGTGAAGCACCCACGCAGGGCGGAGAGGGACTCGTCCCCCGCAGGTGGTTCCTCTGGTGACTCGCGGGGTGTCGCCTCAACCCCCGGAGCCGGGAGGGACGGGAGGCGCCTGCTGGCGCAGACACCCTCCGCCCGCCGCACAAGGGAGGAGGGG